TCGGTTCAGTAGTTAAAGCGTGAAAGCATAACAAACAAACAAACTCACTTTCGGATTTATAATATAAAAAGTACGGATATGTGCATTGAATTTTCTAACCAAATTTAAATAAACTTTGCTACTCGCTCGTTAGAAATCCAAAAATTAGTTTCCTACTGAGCGCCGGATATTCGTGGGTCGCAAAAAAAAAAAATAAATATTTACTACTGAACATAAGCTGTGACCTAACGTCATTGTGATGACATCACATCACAGCACATCGCATAGATTGTTGCATCACCAACAAAATACGCCACAAATTGTAGACACCCACTGTGTCGATGTGCTGGTTGCAGACGCCGAATACTCCGTGTGTTTTTTTGTGTGTTGTGTTGAAACGTGTATATTCAACGGCACTGAAGTTGAAAAATCAGCAACCATTTGAGTCATGACTAATGCCAACAACAAATCTATTGTTAAAAATCACTTCCACATCTCTAAGCGTTGGAAAACGTGCTTCTCGTCGATTTGCATGGATACTTGGGAAATGTATACCAACTTCATATTTATTTATGTACATACAAATTTGTTAAGACGTTTAGCAGGCGTGGTCAGTGAGGCATTCAGTAATTAGTAATTTATTAAATACAGGGTGAGCCAAATAATACCTACTAATTTCATGCAGCAGGTCCATAGTTTGCCTAGCATTGTGCGCAGTCGCTCCATCTTGTTGGAATCACAAATTAGGATGCTGCTCTGCCATTGGCCGCAAAAAGTTGTCAATCATTGTTCTGTACGAATCCCCAGAAATTGTTGCTGCCGATAACTTTTTCACCGCACCAAACAGTGCATCCGGATGGGTGTAACTGGTGCTGGTGTTTTGCCCTTGGATTTTCAGAGCCTCACAATCTACAGTTTCGCTTGGAAATGCACTTCATCCGACATCAAAACATTACCTAAAAAAATAAATTTGTGTGGCTTATTGAGTAAAACGAATAGCGTATTGTAGTCGTTGTTGGTGGTCTTGCTGTAAGTATCCATTATAATTTTCCAAGAGATTAACTGTAACATGTAAAAACATGTAAAATAAATAAGTTATACGTGTTTAACATTGGTAGGTCTTATTTGGGCCACCCTGTACAAAGCTTAGCCATAACTGTTGATAAAAATTTCGTTTAGTTCATATTTTTAAACTTTTATGCTATTTTTAACCGACTTCACAAAAAGTAGAAAGGTTATCAATTCGTCGGAATATTTTTTTTTTAGCGCATAACTTTCGACCGCGTTAACCGATTTCTATAATTTTTTTTTTTAATGAAAGATGTTACCTTACAGGTGCTCCCATATTAATTTGATTTATATCCGATCATTTAGAATTTAGAAATTAACGATAATTCTAAATTTTTATAAGAGCATTGAAGTCGGTTTTGTTTTTTGCTTAAAAATTACTTGTTAATTCATTTTCAAGTAAATTGAAACATTTATTTTGGAAATTATTTGACTTAAAAATTGAAAGAAATGCATCAATTATCACTCAGCTTGGCATACAAATTTTAATTTCTGGCTGTAATTCGCCAGCATATGCAACAACAAATTTTTGAAAATTTACATTTGTTTGCTTGCTGTTTTGTGTTTATTTTTATTTTCGTATTTGCATTGCTTATTGTTGCCTGTTGTCTGCAACAAGTGCCAAATTCATTTCTCCCCTTGTTCATTCATTCAATATGTAAATCATGTAAATTGTTTGTTTTACATGAGCCAGGCATTTCGCATCTCGCGAGAAAAAGAAGTAACAAAAAAAAAATTTCAACAAAAAATAATTAATTCGCAATAATAGACACTCAGTTGAAAGAGATTTTGCAGATTTCCTTTGGCAACGATCCGAGTGCATCATGCATGCTGTATCTACATACATATGGATGCATATAGCGGCACAATGCTACTTTAAAATGAAAATTCCACAAATTAGCGGTGCCTCTTTCTGTTAAAGAATTAAGAAAGTGCTAAGATATTGGAATTTTCAAACTGCATTTTCAAAGCTAAATTTGTAACATTCGCCATATATGTACATATGTTTGTATGTGTGTATGTATGTATTTTTACACATTTTTCTTGAAGGTAAATAAATCTAAACCCAATCAAGAATTGTCTGCCTAAAAATAGTTTGTCGCTTGTTTCAATAGCACTACAAACTCCAGCATTTTTTGTGCATTTAAAATTAATGACTCCGCCAACAGCATTAAAACAGCCATTGAAGACAAAATTTATAGGATAGATACATACATACATATGTGTTGATGTTGGAAAAAATCTATTTGCGTACAGAAGTGAAAACAATTACAAAAATAAAACAAAACCTCCACTGCATGCAACAAAAACAAAAACTAAAAAAATGTGATGAAAACACAACTGCAACAATTATACATAAATGGCAGCGAGAATACTTGGCGATGGCGTGCGCCCAAAGGCAAACGTGAAATTTCGTTGTGTCCACAATTACGTCATTTCGAAAATAGTGAGCATCCAACGGTGATGCAGGCAATTATTCGGTTATTTGAAAACCAACACACACACACACACACACACTTTGAATTTATTTTCGTATCGAAAAAGTATGACGTCAAAAGCCGAAGGTGTGAAAGTGCCAACAACGGCACCCGCATCCGACAGATACAATACAATTGTAATAAATGCATTGTGTACGATCATATGTACATACTATATGTGTACATACTCTTACCTACTAAAACATACCCAGCCAGCAAAGAAACGTAAATTTTGCGCACAGTGCAGTTTAGTTAAATTTTCCGTATCCGAAAACGCATACAAAAAACTCCTACAGTTATCATTAATTTTCGCATCCGGTAAACGTTCGAAAAAGATGATGTCATTTGAAAGCAATAATTTTATTTTATTTGCTCAAGCTAAACATCTGAAAGCATGCATGCGTAGTCGGCAGTGGCTGAGCGTGCAGAGGAGTGTGCCGCTATTTGTTAGCTTCCAGAAGGTGCCGGGTTCGAGTTCCGTCAGGCGCTTCCTAATTTTATTTTATTTCGTTTGAACCATGAAAAGTTGTCTGTGAAGTGCAGAAGGAAAGCGTATTGAACGAAAAATTCAATCAGACAAATTTCAAAAATAAAAAAAACAGCCGAAAACGTATACTTTTCGCCACCATTTTCGGTACTTTTCTGTACATACGTTTCTGCCGCACACTTTAGNAAAATAAAAAAAACAGCCGAAAACGTATACTTTTCGCCACCATTTTCGGTACTTTTCTGTACATACGCTTCTGCCGCACACTTTAGTGGGAAAACGGATCATTAAAGTATCCGGAAATGGAATCGGTAAACGGACAAAAATCTGGCTTTCATCGACTTTTTTTCGTTTTCGGATCGGTTTTCGGATTTTTTGCCGGCTGGGTATATATGAACGTGTTGGGAATGACAGAGGGCAAATCATAGAGGTGGTTATTTGTGGGCAACAATTGAACAAGAGAACCTCTTTGTCTATTGGTGAGCCGAGAATAAATAAATATTTGCCTAGTGCTTGGCCGAGCTTCTCCTCCTTGATGTCACACAAAGTGGAGGGACCTGCAGTTGTATGCCAAATGGTGTTAATGAGAAGCAGAAATACACTCGGAGGCGAACGCTATTGGTGTTGCTCGGACCAGGGAGCGAACCATGGACCTACCGAGTGGTAGTGCGCACCACTAACCACTCGACCACGACGGCCGCGAATAGCCCCTAAATTTTCCAACAAAAAAGTGCTTAGCTTTTCGTTTGCCATTTCGTTCATCTTTGTGCGTCGACGCAATGCCAAGCTCTTGTAGGAAAATCCCACTACAGCCGGTGGCAATACCTGGCAGAGTCGAAAATAGAGAGCGAAGAATGTAGTCAACGAGCAGCCGGCAGAGTATGCGCGGAATACTCAGAGACCACGATAAGCACATTTCGCTTGGCATAGTCTCCACCGAATTTTCAATTCAGTTTGGTTTCGCTTTGCTTTTTGAACGTTTCGAATTCTTTTTCGTTCAACACTCTTCTTACGATTCGGTTCGGTTTGGTTCTTCCTTTTATAGATTTTAATTTGTGCAATGAAAGTTTGAAAAAAGCCACATACAAAAAAGAAAAAATCATACAATATTTGTTTATAACTGCAAATTTTATAAAAAACGAATCTGCCGTCTGCAAATTTTACGCAATAAATAAAGTTTGCTACGCGTGTGCTCCAGTTTTTGCCAAAAATCCAAAAAGCAAGAAATTACACACATTTATAAAGATCTTAAATGCGAAAAATTCACCAGCTATTGCGCTAAAAATAGCCAGTTAAAACTTTCTGCTTTTCAACAATTTTTGAAAAAAAAAAAAATCTCGCAGCGAATATATGTTCATCGGCCATTTACACGAGCGTATTTCGACCGCAGCTTTCGGCCAACGAGTTTGGCTATTTTCGCAAGTGTGTAATTTTTGTATGCAACTGAGAAAGCGTCTGTGTGCGCCTATCGGGGAGAGTCTTCCAATGTATTTTGTCAATCACCACCCGTCATTGTGTGAATCTCAATTAGAATACGAAAAGATATATATAAATGTATGTATGTATGTAAACAAGCAAGAATAATAAAATAAATTCTGTGGTTTATCGACAAGACCAAAACAATAAAAATCAATAAAACTAACTACTCACACATCTGACATTGCGAGGTCATCGGCAATTCGTGTTACACTCAGATTTTTGTTTGTCTTTCTATATTGATTCATTTTCTATTATTCTTCTGGAGCAAAAAACGGTAAATCTTTGTAGAGCACTCTAAATCTATTCTATAGGCTTTTTGTCAAATACTGTTTCTTTTTTTTAAAGCTTTCTAGGAGCATGTTGTTGCTGTTATCTTTGGCTTACAAAATCTTATCAAAAGCTTTCAGTTACCAATAAATCTAAAAACTTTTCTGCTATATACATATGTACTTTTTCAATAAAATCTGCCTAAGAAATACTTAGTGGTTCCAAAATTTTCTGCTTTCCAGATATGTGGCATAAAAATTGCTTCATGCATCTGCCATCGCATTAAATTATGGATTTAGCAGATCAAATCGATGATTACATTTGTTCATTTGAAGGAATTGGTGACTTAACAATGGACTCATTAGCGATCTTCATATTTATTTGGGCCGTAGTAGCCCTCTTCTTAGTATGGCTGTGCAAATTTTTATACAACAAATATGTGGTGAATAACAATAAAACGCCGACTAGTCAGAGCAATAGCCGGCAAAGCAGTGTGGCCCCCGGCGGAGCTATCACAACGAAAACCGAAGCGAACAAGCGACTTTCCGAACCAAGAGAAGTGGTGGCGAGCAAAGCGGACTTTAAGGTGGGTCAGTCGTTTAAATGCGCAGCATGCACTCTTACATTTTATTTTATTTTCACGAAATCAGGACTTAGCTGCCAAACCAGTTGGTGCACGTGGCCGGACACCAGTTGGCGGCGCTGGTGGTGGTGGTGGTGGTGCTATTGGACCGCGACGACGCATGGTGCGACAGGGCTCCACTGGGCCAGAAAGCCGCAAGAAGCGCTATGTGCCGCCGCCATCCAATGTTGTTGGACCCGAGACAGTGAGTAGCGAAAATTAAGGAAATTTAATCTGCGAAAACAAAAAATGTTGAATACCATAATTTTGTATATTTGTATATGAATAGGTCTCCGTTACTTGGACTAGCCAAGTATTCCGTTGGCTTTACAGCGATCTGGTGATTGTCAACGAACTTTTAACCTCCTGGGTTATAGCTTTAAATGATACGCTGAAGAAATCTATGGAAGAGGTGAGCTAATTTTTTTTTTGTTTTAAATACATAATTAGCATAACATTATGAAAATCCGCTTGTTGAGTGAGCTGAAACCAGTTTGGGCGCTTTCGTAACTATTCACTGGCAATCACTAAATTTTAATGGTGCCATTATGGCTTTATGCAAAGAATATAAAAATGTCTATTTCAAATTGAAAAAAATCCTATGGGACATGACCAAGACAGTTTTTATGCGAAATGAAAAAAAAAATCAGAAACGGAAAAGGACCATACCCTTACTATTGTTTTTTGTAGATGTTTATCCTTATAAGGAGAGAAATTATTTGCTTAGACTTGGACTTTCATCTAGAATTTTTGGAAAACGAAAAAAGACTAATATGACCCAATGTCGAAACTAGAGCCCCTAATCGGTTAGACCTTTCGACTTTTTCAACTAACCGCTCACAAACAAATAGTCGACTATCCGTTCGTTAACGAGTTTTCGACTTTTTGTTCTCTTTCAGTAAACATTGTGTTATTTATAATATTTTTTTATACATATTTTGTNCTAACCGCTCACAAACAAATAGTCGACTATCCGTTCGTTAACGAGTTTTCGACTTTTTGTTCTCTTTCAGTAAACATTGTGTTATTTATAATATTTTTTTATACATATTTTGTTCTGTATAACAAAAATTTGTTGTGAAAAACTGTCACTATTCGAATAATTTGAGTTAGTCGATTTTCAGACTACTCGATAGTGAGCGGTTAGTCGAAAGTGAAAGGTTAGTCGAATTCGAGCGGTTTATCGAATAATTGCTATTCGGCTATCAACCGACAAAGAAGTTGCTAATCGACTAGTCGACTAGCCGAGTAGCCATATAGTCGATTATGAACAAGAGCTCTTGTCTCCAAACCAAATTTGACACCAAAGAAATTCGCGTGTTGCGTGATGCGACAACAAAAAAGAGATACACTGCGGAAAATACTCGCGGCACTTTTTCAAGCAAACAAGCTTATTGCAAGATGATTAATTATCTGGTTGATCATCAATGACTTGGCCTTACCTTTGCGGTAAAAATTTAGTATATTTACTACATATTAGTTTTTAATTAAGAATGATTAAATTCTTATCAAAGTATCAATTTGACTTGAAAGACCCTTAACCTTTATATGCCAATTTATATGATTAATTTATATTGCTCACAATTCCGAAAAAGCTGAGATCACGCACAAAACAAATAAAATTGAATCAAGTATTACGTCAGCTATGCGTACTGAATTTCATATCAATTGAGTTTCATTTATAACCAAAGGCTTTGGATTATATTAAAAAAGGAAAATTAGCAAATACCGGCTCTTAATGCGAATTTCCGTGGAGAAAAAAAATCGTATACAAAAATCCGCAGCTGAAAAAAAAACAAAACAAACAAAAAATAAGAAAAAGGCGAAAATGAAAAAAAAATTCGGCAGACAATATACATACATATATAAGTATGTATATACACTAGGGTTGGTCCAAAGTAAGTAAAGTCTGAATTTTAATGCTCTTACCCCCTGGGTCTGTTCGTACCGAAAAAATTGTACCCCTGTTTTTTTTATTTTGAAATCAAAAAATATTTAGAGGTCGCTCAAAGCGTTTATAGTTTTCAATACATTTTATTTGAAAAAAAAAAAACGATTTTTCCTTGAAATGGTATTTAATTCTTAAAGTCAATATTTTTTGATGGGAAAACGTTGTTTCTCTTCAGGAGACTATTAATAATAATACCAAATGGTTTATTTAACCATTTTTTGATACTAACAATTTTTTATAGGTGCCCTATCTCCTGAAGAAAAATAATGATTTTCAGAATTCAATACCATTTCTACGAAAAATTATTTTTTTCCCCATATAAAACACATGGAAAACTTTGGGCGCTTTGAGTGACGTCCAAATACTTTGTTTTGTGTCGAAATAAAAAAAATATGGGCATATTTTTACGGTTTAGAACAAACCTAGGTGGTGAGAGCATTAAAATTCCTAATTTACTTTTTCCACATGCATTTTTGGACCACCCTAATGTACATATTTGCCTTTTGAATTCGTATGTGCGTATATTTGTACATATATATATACAAATGAACGTATGTAAAAGAAAAAAAGAGTTTAATGTTAACCTTGGCCTCGGTTTCAACACAAAATAACAACAATAATAACAACAAAAGCGAATGAGTTTGGAAAGCGATAAAAGCTATAAAAATACAATTCGAAGAGGCAAAGACCAGAACCAAATGGAATATATAATATGTACACATGTGTACACATGTACATATGTATGTAGGTATGTACAAACATCCATACATAAATAAATACAAGAAATACAAAACGCAAACAGCTATAAATATTTTATTTATTAAAATGGAGTATTAGACCGTGCCACCTTACAAGTAACCAAAAAAATATTTGCCATGCACCTCTGAGCCGAAGGTATTTTTGCAAACCAATTTCGATTTTATTTATTTATTTTTTTGTTTTTTGTTTTGGTTGAATCTAGAAAATATATTGCAATATTTCGTTCCAATTTTATAATTGGAACTATTTTCTCTTTTTTAGCATGGTGTCGCTGTAGAAGTAGTACGCGTGCTCCCCGACAGTCCACCGCCCAGTTTGAATAATATTTTTTGCAACTGTGATGAAAATAATCCATCGGATATGGTAGGTTCCACATCCAACACCTCTACACTACATACATATATACATACGCACACAAATTGACGAATTTCTGATAAACACTTGCTTCCCACAGCTGATCACTTTCGATTGCGAAGCACAGCCGGTGTTGCAGGTGAAAACGTTCCGCCAAAAGGCCGGCAAAATCGACACCTCCCACTACAAAGTAACCGTTTCACGTTTCCGTGGACGCATGGCCACTGCCATGAACTATAACAGCCTCAAAGGCGAAATGAAAGTTGATGGTTATCCGGATGTAAGTGGTCACTTTATTTCTCCCAACCAATCAGTGGAACTTACAAATAAAACATTTCAGATACGCGTTGCCTTGAATAGTGTGGGGGCCATCAAGCCAATAGATCAGGATGAACAGCAGCTGCAGAGTGTGATTAGCGAGATTATCAGCGTNTGCCATGAACTATAACAGCCTCAAAGGCGAAATGAAAGTTGATGGTTATCCGGATGTAAGTGGTCACTATATTTTTCCCAACCAATCAGTGGAACTTACAAATAAACCATTTCAGATACGCGTTGCCTTGAATAGTGTGGGGGCCATCAAGCCAATGGATCAGGATGAACAGCAGCTGCAGAGTGTGATTAGCGAGATTATCAGCGTCGCCTTGCGTGACACCCTGTATCCGGTGGACTTCTCGATATATGCGACTTGCCCACGCGCCGAAATCGATCCCTTGGATATGCCTGTAATATATCCAGTGAATTATGATGCGTTAGCGGTGAGCGTCAGTGCAGTGAGAAGAAATAGAAAATTCAAATAACGAAACACAACTTTCATTTCGTTAAAAAATCGCGTTTTCCATGCTCGTTTTTCGTTAATCTCATTGAACTACAATAGTTGCGTTCCAGACGCTTCACGATTTGCAGATTTTTACAGGAAGTCGTTCCAGGTGACCACCTTCCATAAGGTTTATTAATGGAGAAAACAACTGTTCCTGCAAATCGTGGATATCGTAAAGCATCTGGAAGGCAACTAATATATGTATGTGTAATTATTACTTTGTCAAAGACAATTTCCACATTTTATCTAAGTTTGCAGTTACAATAAGCACAATTTGCAAAACGGTACACTTTTTCCAAAAAAGTTTGTGTATAAATGAAACCAAGAAGTAATCACTTTGTGCATGCCTTTGTGTGTATGAAAATTTGCTGAAAACTCGAAAAGAACACTACACAGATTTTACATACACTGTGCCATTTAAATTTAAAATTGTTCTTCTCATTGTTCTACTCACTCTTTAGCATTCCATTTTATGTGTATTTATGTATATGTATGAAATATATAAAATTTAAAATCATTTTAGCCTCAACTAAGTCGCCAATGAAATTTGCCTTTTGTTTACTTAAACGTAACTAACAATTCACTATACTGAACCACTAGCCAGAATCACTTTTCAAAATCGACATTCAAACGTTAAGCTCATTTTTCTTTTTTTTGCTTTCTCTCATTTCAGAGGGCTTATCAATATTACTATAATTATTAAAAAGACAATATTCCCCATTAATTTCACAAATGAATTGTTATAATATCCAAAAATCTAGTTCCTAATAATCTGTATACAAACTCATATTCAACAAAAAAAAAAAANTGGATATGCCTGTAATATATCCAGTGAATTATGATGCGTTAGCGGTGAGCGTCAGTGCAGTGAGAAGAAATAGAAAATTCAAATAACGAAACACAACTTTCATTTCGTTAAAAAATCGCGTTTTCCATGCTCGTTTTTCGTTAATCTCATTGAACTACAATAGTTGCGTTCCAGACGCTTCACGATTTGCAGATTTTTACAGGAAGTCGTTCCAGGTGACCACCTTCCATAAGGTTTATTAATGGAGAAAACAACTGTTCCTGCAAATCGTGGATATCGTAAAGCATCTGGAAGGCAACTAATATATGTATGTGTAATTATTACTTTGTCAAAGACGATTTCCACATTTTATCAAAATTGGCAGTTACGCAATAAGCACAATTTGCAAAACGGTACACTTTTTCCAAAAAAGTTTGTGTATAAATGAAACCAAGAAGTAATCACTTTGTGCATGCCTTTGTGTGTATGAAAATTTGCTGAAAACTCGAAAAGAACACTACACAGATTTTACATACACTGTGCCATTTAAATTTAAAATTGTTCTTCTCATTGTTCTACTCACTCTTTAGCATTCCATTTTATGTGTATTTATGTATATGTATGAAATATACAAAAATTTAAAACCATTTTAGCCTCAACTAAGTCGCCAATGAAATTTGCCTTTTGTTTACTTAAACGTAACTAACAATTCACTATACTGAACCACTAGCCAGAATCACTTTTCAAAATCGACATTCAAACGTTAAGCTCATTTTTCTTTTTTTTGCTTTCTCTCATTTCAGAGGGCTTATCAATATTACTATAATTATTAAAAAGACAATATTCCCCATTAATTTCACAAATGAATTGTTATAATATCCAAAAATCTAGTTCCTAATAATCTGTATACAAACTCATATTCAACAAAAAAAAAAAAATACAATGTTTTCAATGTATAATCGGACTTTTCTAATAAAAGGCGAATTTCATTGCCTACGCATTACAAACAATTTCTCTACATTACTCTCATTTTCCACGTAATTTACTCACAAAACCTTTCTCGCATCATTTCTCTTTAATACTTTACCAAAACAACAAAACCATAACAACCTTATAGCAAAACAAGGAGGGCTCTAANTGTTAATCTCATTGAAATACAATAGTTGTGTTCCAGATGCTTCACGATTTGCAGGTTTTTACAGGAAGTCGCTCCAGGTGACCACCTTCCATAAGGTTTATTAATGGAGAAAACAACTGTTCCTGCAAATCGTGGATATCGTAAAGCATCTGGAAGGCAACTAATATATGTATGTGTAATTATTACTTTGTCAAAGACGATTTCCACATTTTATCAAAATTGGCAGTTACGCAATAAGCACAATTTGCAAAACGGTACACTTTTTCCAAAAAAGTTTGTGTATAAATGAAACCAAGAAGTAATCACTTTGTGCATGCCTTTGTGTGTATGAAAATTTGCTGAAAACTCGAAAAGAACACTACACAGATTTTACATACACTGTGCCATTTAAATTTAAAATTGTTCTTCTCATTGTTCTACTCACTCTTTAGCATTCCATTTTATGTGTATTTATGTATATGTATGAAATATATAAAATTTAAAATCATTTTAGCCTCAACTAAGTCGCCAATGAAATTTGCCTTTTGTTTACTTAAACGTAACTAACAATTCACTATACTGAACCACTAGCCAGAATCACTTTTCAAAATCGACATTCAAACGTTAAGCTCATTTTTCTTTTTTTTGCTTTCTCTCATTTCAGAGGGCTTATCAATATTACTATAATTATTAAAAAGACAATATTCCCCATTAATTTCACAAATGAATTGTTATAATATCCAAAAATCTAGTTCCTAATAATCTGTATACAAACTCATATTCAACAAAAAAAAAAAAAAAAATGTTTTCAATGTATAATCGGACTTTTCTAATAAAAGGCGAATTTCATTGCCTACGCATTACAAACAATTTCTCTACATTACTCTCATTTTCCACGTAATTTACTCACAAAACCTTTCTCGCATCATTTCTCTTTAATACTTTACCAAAACAACAAAACCATAACAACCTTATAGCAAAACAAGGAGGGCTCTAACCTGTCCGGGCTACAACCCATGATTTCTGGTCGCCGCTTGCTCGTGAAAATTGTCAAGGGTGAGGGTCTCGCCGACGCCAAGGATCCCTATGTGGTGGTGGAGATGGACGAACCGGCACAAAAAAATCAAACTGGTGTGCGTCAGGGCACTACGCCCTATTGGGATGAACATTTCCTATTGTGAGTC